TTATGAAAAAACCCCCCCCCCCCCCAAAGCTGCCCCACTTTTTTTTTTAAGGTTGTGCTACCATTCAGAATTGCAGGAACATCCCCTCTTCTCTGCTGTTCCCCCAGAAGGGCTATAACTGTAACCTGCTCTTCCCTCCCAGTCACAGGATGCCTGTAAATGTGACACATCTGTGCACTCAGTTACTTCAAATGCACCTGGGGCTGCACTGATCATCTCTCTCAAGGGAAAGTCAGTAGCAAGATGTGCATCAGGGCACTTGAATTCCCTGGTATTTTTCTTTTCTCCAAGCCAAGCCCAGCCCCCTTGTCCTGCAATCAGATCTGCACAGGTGGCTCCAGTGACTCAGTGCTCCACCTGTCTGAATCTCAAACTCTCTCAGACAAGGTTAACTACAAAGTGACAATGCATGGGTATTCAGGTCCGTTCACATCCCCAATTTGACACTTCAGAGCAAGTATTTGGAGCTATGGGTGAGCAAAAAGAGAGCTGAAGACCACCTCTTTCCTGCTCAGGGTCTTATGCAGATTCTCATAAGGCTTTTGGTAGATGGGGGAAACATTTTAAGTTTTGTTCCAGCCAAGCAGTGAAAGAAGAGAAAAGCATTTGCAAATTCAGTCCAGCTATCCCATATTTGGAAACAGCCTTATTTGTTTCAACAGAGACCAACAAAACACTTAGCACTTTGCCTGTGCCTGTTTTGCTGTAATAAATTTACAACAAAAGGGGTATTTCCCCCTGCTACTGCAAAGCCATAATATGCACGCAAACACACACAGAGTGAAATTAGTAGCTGTGCAGCGAGTGATGGCAAATGCAAGATTGGACAAGGCACTTCATTTTCACTGGAATTGTGTTCTCATTAACAGCAGGGTCCATTTAAGACATCTGTCAGAAGCCTGCAATGCAAATGGAAATGGAAAAATTCCAGCAAGAACTCGGGGCGGGGGGGAGTTATTCTTTTTCCCATGAACTCCACATTATGGAATTTTAACAGATGTTCGACTTGGTCACAGCTAATAAAAAGAATTATGCAAGAATTAAAAATCTGGCTCAGCCGGCTAGTGCAAAGCCTCCGCAGAAGAACTATAGTTCCCATCAAGGCATTTCAGGAGGATTTACAATGGATATTTTCTTCTGCCTTGTTGCAGGATGGTTGGAGATTTCACGAATGGCTTTGTCAGTGGTGGAGGGGGGAAACGTATCGTTCCCGCCGGCTGTGAGTAGCACCGCCTCATTTCTACAAAATGGTGCATTACTACCACGGGAAAGTGGATTTTTCACTTGGCTTTGATTTTGAAATGACATCATGGGAAGCTCACATCTTCTCACAGCCTTTTCTGTTGTGCCATTTACCCAGACAAAAAAGCTTCCAGAAGCAGCTGGACTCTCCTTCTGGTCTTGTAGCTCTTTCCATAAGGCAGGACTGTCTTCCAGGCTGCTACTGTCCTTAGGCTTGGAATAAAACCATTGAACTGCACCTACTCTCCCTTTGATTGCAAAATCAAGTCAAAGGTATTCGGAACAAGAGGGAAGAGGAACTGAAACCAAAGGGGAAGGCTGTGGGGATGGAAAAACACACACATGTCCCTAACTATAAAGGGAGAGTCTGCTAAGCAGCAATTCTGTTCATCCACTGAAATTTCCCCCAAACTAAGACATTTCCCATAGCACTAAATATACACTTCTTTTTTCTCAAGTCCACCTTCATGGCAGGCATAAAAGAAGGGCAAAAAAAATAGAGGAAGAGTGCAAATCAGACAGAAAGGTAAAACAATTGTTTGGTTTTTTTAAAGTGTGGTTCTGGGGGATGGGGAAAACAAAAGAGTAGAGAAAAAGCTATGAAGAATCAAAGGGATGGAACAGGCATAAAGAAAACCAGTAGATTAGGGACATGGTATGGCAAGAGAGACAATGGCACTAGTTTAAGCTCTTTTCCTGCCCTGACAACTGGGCCTGGGCCCAGGAAACCTGAACTGTCCACTTAAAGGGTCTGAAAGAAGGGCAGGCTATCTAGAAATAAAAGAGAGTGTCTGAACCCCACTATAAATTATGTGCAAAGGCTTATTTTTGAGTAAAAGTTACAGTCTTTCTTAGACCACATTACTGAAGCCTATATACTACAAAAACCTTTTTAGTGTCACTAACCAAATGGCTTTGCAGAAGGAAAAAAACCACCTGAAGCATGCAAACGAATTCCACAAGCATCCAGATCCGGCTAGAATTGAATGTCAGTGTGCTACAAAGCAGAGAATCACATGAACATCTCCCATAATGAATTAACACAGGCTCCTATCCAAGGATAAAGACCGTCTGCTGAATAAGGGAAGAAATGCATTTAGGGGGGTTGGAAAATATCAAGAATGTGCATTTGTTTCAGCTACGCAATTCAATACACTGCTTTTATGCAAACAGTGGAGTGGACACTTCACTGCAGAGTGGTATTTAGTGTCAGAAAATGTGATAGCCTTAACACTGTGGTAAATGCATGGGTTTGGGGTTTTTTTAAGCAAACAGATCACCAATGATTTGTTTCATTTTGAAGAGAAACCACATTTCATTTGGCAATAATTTATTTCTCGTTCTATTGGGCAGATGTGCCAAAAAAGCAATATTTCAACTGAAATCAGTTCTGAAAGATCTTTTATGAATATACATAATGGAAAGGACCCCAATTAAGTATTCAACAAGGTGCTGCCATTTTGAGTAAACAAAGTTATCTCGGCAGGGTCACATACTGCGCTAAGAGAATAGCCTGGAAATTAATTACCGTCCTGACATACGTCAAAACAAATTTTAAAGAGAACAGCATCCAGTTGTAGCCATGTGTTTTATCTATCTGGTGGTATGCAAAATCTGTATGCGGTGGCATCGAAATTTATTCATTTATTCAGAACCCCTCAGAGAAATCAAAAAGGCTTGTTGCCCTTTTTTTGCCTGCCTCCAGATGAAATCTGAGTGAATAACATGCGTTTAGTGAGCCGGAAAATAAGTACAGGATGAAGCTGTGGTGGGGGTTATGTTTCGGAAAAGCAGGTGTCATCTTCACAAAAGTAACTAATTTTTGAAACATTCAGAGTTGCTCAAATAAGCTCCAACATTGCCATTTGCGGGTGCTTAAAGCAATACGAGATTTGGGACTTCTTATCTTATGCAATATACATCTTTATCCTGACTTGTAATAGGAGTTGGCTATACTGAATCTGAACGCAGCTAGGGGTATGAAGGAGATGTTTTAAAAGCAAAGAGTTCTGCTGAAAGTAGGCTTTAAAATGCTTATGTAGCTAGCGTCACTATCAACGGCAACAAGAGAATTTTCTTTTAATATTGGTACTGAAGTGACTTAGTATTAAATGGGCAAAGATCCAACCCAGATTACTTAGCTGAGTGAAACTTAAGGACAGAACCACGTGCCACACCAAACTGATCCTAGCAAGTGAAGAACAAGGACTCTAAAAGGTATTTGTCTTATTTTCACAGAAAACCAATCCCTGTTCCCTTATCTAAAGTGTTTGCAATGCAGTTTCTACTATTGCAAAATGACAGCTGCATGAAGCGCGACGGGCAAAGTTTGGAGTGGGATTTTGAAGTGTAGCTTACAAGAGGGGGGCAAAATGAAATTCCTCTACTGATGCACTGATTAATTTAGATGTTGTGCCAAATGTTAACATATGTTACAACCTAGGATGAGGTTTTCTGGTAAAACCTACTGTTCAGGAGTGCACAGAAGTTCATTTTCTCCTTGTTCTCTCCAAGTGAAAGCTGTAAGGAAGTCATGCACATCATCTATTCTAAAACCTAAAAATCGGAGACCCCAAAGACCACAACCCACATAGTCCGACTCCCATTGGCAGATTTCTCATGGAGAATTCACGTTGGCTGTGGTGGGGCATCACACAAAAGCCAATAATGAGAAGATCAGCATAAAAGATACAGCCAATAGCAAAAATAAAATGGCACCTCTCTGGGGGAGCAATTTCAGGGTCCACTGGCACCTGCTAATCCCAGCAAAAACAAACTGGGCATAGACAACTTGGACCATTTTTTTAAAATAACTTTTCATGTGCATTTGACTTGTGCATGGTGCTAATTTCCACCGCTCCTGCTGTGAAGCGGGGAAAAGAGACTTAGCACCACCCTTTGTCTCTACACTCAGTAGAGGGCAAACAAGAGACTTCACAAAATAAAGCATTGCCAAACTGCATGATTTGCAAAATGTATATGTCTTTATCATATTACATCTGTTCAGCAATGAATCCAAAAAATGCACAAGAGGTACAGGAATAGCCACTTCTGTCCCAGAAGTTTCTAATGCACTTTATCAGCATAGCTTCCAAGTTCCCATTATCTCCCCAAACAGTTAACTTATCTAGAATGAAATATTTGGAGGTGTGTGATTCCAGCTATTTAGCTTACCTAGGAAAAGTACAACAAAAGCACTTGAAAAGAGGGTGGGAAAGAAACCAATTGTCTTACCTCTCTTAATACTGTGCTTTTATAGCCCCGATAAAGTCCTCGAATACCCTGTAAACCAACAAAAAAAGACAGCTTCACCTAAAAGGAATTAGGTAGCCAAAGGCAGCAATTTATGGATGATTACATAGTGTTACATACTCAGCCTTACTGAGTGGAAGATCTAAAACAAATAGATTATATTGATTATAGCACCGTATTCCAGGACTGACAACACTAGAGGCTTTTATCTTCCTTTTAAAAGGAGTGTTTAACCACTGTGAGGAATAATGGGTTATCCATTCACACAAAGAAGAAACTAGACCTAAGAGTTTGTATTAGAAGGGCAAGAAGGCACAGAAACACGTTATTTCAAACTCTGTGTGCCTAATACTTGGCAAGCATAGCTGAGGTTGAGAAGTTATCCACGACTCCAGATGCATACATAAAGCAGAGCAGCAGCATTTTCAAGTTAAGCGGCCTTTGCAAAACAGGCATCTAGGATAACAATCTGGCTGGATGTCTGGTTTCTTAATTGCTCTGGTTCAGAACCATCATCAGGAAAGACTTTTCAATGCTTTGTTCTTAGCTGGAAGATGACAGCATCCAACATGTTTAAAAGGCATGACATGTACGCATCAGAGTTTGGTTCCCTGGCCAGTGCTCTGAAAAGAGTATTTCCACTGCCAGTTGTTTTTTATAGATCAGGGGTCAGATTGAAAAAAAGGAGTAGGGAAGAAAAGAACGGACACTCTGAGACCGGTATCGCATTCAGTGTCCAGAAAGCATTAGCTGTTTTGGGTAGCTCAGGCCAATGCTGTTTAACGCTTGCATTCAAAGCAACAAAGTCAACTCCATCAGTAAACATGATGACCGACATATTCAAGTGACTAAGGAAGTGTTTCTCAGCCAATGTGCTGGAAGATCCTTTTAAGGGTGCTGCTCAACATGACCAGTCAGCTGGGCAAACACCTGGACAAAGTAAAAACAGAGAATCCAGACTGTTAAAAGCATTCTGACTTTTGGGGGTCTCCCCAAGTTCTTTGCAACAGAAGAATTGCTCTAGTACTTTTTCCAGAGTCAAAAAATGAGTGAAATTTGTTTTTGAAATGGGATCCAGCTAAGGTCAGAAATGTTATGGAGTGTAAAAAAGTAGCGATCCATTGGTATAAGACGTGCCTCAGTGCAACTACCCTATTCTCCAGGTGCTTATTCCTGAAGTAGTGCAGCAAAATGCAAATATCTGCTCGGCTCATCCCTTCTTCAGTGGCCTTAACAAGCTGCTGGAGGGGAAGAGGGAACGAGGATGGATTTTGCATTATCAAGTGAAGGAACAGTGCTTTGCAAGGCCATTTTGTAAATTCTCCATTTTGGATCCTCTCCCTGGATCCAAAATAGAGATGTGAAAGATGCAGCCTTTCCAAATGCAGGTATCGGCCCTGCAGAAAGGATGCAGTTCCATTAGCAATATGCTAATATGCCTCCCCCGGTAAGCCCCATGCAAACTTTCAATGCTTCATTAACCTTGGCTCTGGTGGGGGGACAGTTTTGCTTCCAACAGAGTCAGGAAAACAGGAGACTGCTTGATTTGAGGGAGTTGGGTTACTGGATAAGAACACTGCAGAAACTGAAAGCCTTGATTAGTATTTCTAAGTGCCATTGCCCCAAAACATTAAGAAAAGGAGCCTAGCCGGCTAACAATCCAGTCCCTATAACCTGCCAACAGTTCTCAGCAACAGGATAGTTGCACAAAACTTCCCAGGAACAGACAGCACAGGGCTGGGAAAATGGCTTGGAGCAGCTATGTTTCAGAAGTTTTGATAAAAACCTTACCTCTTGATATAAAGTATTGGAAAGCACTTGAAAGGTGCTGGATGAAGGCGAAACTTGAGCCCTCTGCTTTACCACTTCAGAAGGAACCCGTATTAGACAGGCAACCTGTAAAAACAGCAAACATTTAGCCTGTAAATCCCTCTGAGTCCATTTGAGTTAATTTGTTTTTTCCTTTTCAAGGAGTCATGTCTGCAAAACAGAGGGACGGCTTGTATATCTGTGTGCCAATCCTGAAAGCTATTGGCAAGATGCTTATGAACCCACTGTCCCAGAGAGCTGTGTTGCACCCGTGAACCAACAGAAGTGTCTTCTGAAAGCTGTTTTAGCAGAAGTGGATTTAAGTCGGGAATCACTGAAGTCAGTAAAACAAACTAGGGGAAAGGTTAGATGTTTCTTTAAAAGCCCTGGGAATCTTTCCCAGTGTTAGAACATGTACAGATACTTGAGGACCTTTTCTAGAACAATTTGTCCCTGTTTTCAAGGTAGGCCAGTTAGACTGTGCCCTCTAGTCACTAACTGTGAATGGACACCACTCAGTACATGATGCATATGATCTATGGGTACAGCCACACGTGTGCTGTAATGTGCATCCGCCTATTTTAATGAGCATTAAAGTGTCACTAAAAAAATGTACTACTTCATTCAGGTGTATTAAAACAGGCTAATGTGCACTGTCACTTAAAAACCATGCTCTTTAGTTAACTTGCATTAAGACAAGCTAATGAGCATTTTCCTAGTACTTCACAATGGAGGTACTAGATTTAATGCTCATTAACTAAACTGTGTTAATGCATGTGTAGATGCGCCCTAAAGTGACTTGATTAGATCATAAACATTTTAATTTGCTTTGAGCCTTGTATGTGTATGGACTGGGAGGTGTCTTTGTAACTAAGGCGGCTGCAGAGGTACAACAGATGTGGGCAAAATAACTTTGGGGTCTGACAGATCCTGCCTTGGAGATAAAGCAACTTGTGTAACCTGTATGAACAGAGCCAGTTTACACCCAACCCCACACAGTACCCATCTTTGTTAGGCTAGTTCCTCAGTTCTTCCTTCCCCATCCTATTTGGTTCATCCCAAGCTTCCCCCTGAGTCTGGCTACTCCTAGGTTTCTCCTTCCAATATTCTTCTGTTCCTACAAAGATGCTTCAAGTGGATCATGTTATACCCCAAGGTTGTTACCAAAAGGGCATGCTGGGTCTGACTGTCCAAATGAGTCAGGCAGACAGGTCTACACCGATATGTAAGCACCTGCTACACTGGGGAGGTTACACTGCAATGCAGAGATTGTACTGAAGCTAGGTTTAAACAAGCTCACTTGGCTACAAATGGCAGGGCAACCACAGCACTGGAAGCTGGCAAGGAGCAACATATTACTGTCAGACAGCTGTCACATCAGGAAAATCTTGGGGTTTTTTTTTTCCCAGGGCCTCTAAAGACAAAGGACTAGATGCTACCCTTTACTGAGGTGCTTTTATACCGCATCAACAGTGCAAGGAGGTAGAAATGACCCCTGCTGGGATGCCCCTTCTGGTACAAAGCTCATGGACTGGCTCTGTATTATCCTCCTTCCCAACTTTGAGGCAGAAAGGTGTGCCCAGAGTGTACTGGTGCAATGACCTGTAGAAGATTAGAGAACAAACTGTCTAAATTAGAGTTGCCCTGGGGCCGCTCTAAATTGTGCTGTTAAATGGTGCCAGAATATGGGAGATAAGGTGGTTCCCCAGCCCATGACCCCTTTCCATCTCTTCTTGCCCCGGGTTCATGTATTTAAATCCATTTAAAAATAGCACCCTGGAAGTGCATCTGCATAAATGTCACCTGTGCAAAATCTGCATCTCCAGAAACAAGCCCAGAAGGATCCAACGCTTGTAAAATAAAGCAAGCGGCTATCTTGTGCACAAATACAAATACTGAACACAGTTACAGTTGCCAGATTGTATCAATGTACAAAAAGACCCCACCGTTTGTAGGACTTTTTTTGCTTTGCTTTTTTTTGGGTAACAGAGTAAAGTTCAAATGCCATATTCATACAGCAGCGATAAAATAAAGTCTGTTGTAACTTGTAAGGGGCATAACCGGCTGAGCTAAGAGATCTCCAGAAGTTTTATTCCAAAGAGGTAAAACTCTGCGTGCTCTTCAATTCCAGAGGTCAAAAAAAAACAAACGACCCCAATATGTCAAGGAAATAAGAATTGTCAACTTTTTTTTTGTAGTTCGGCATAAATATTTATAGAACTTCACGCTTCATAACACTCCGTGTCTTTACATTAGTTCTTTATTCCTTAAAAATAAGGAGGCAGGAGGAAGACTTTAAAAAGGCTCTCAGATGAAAAACAATCTCACCAGCCAAGGGGGTACAAAGAGCCCAGCGTGGCTTCCCGACTTCTGTGGCGTTGCAATTTTGGCATGAGAGGGGTGGCTACAAAGTAATGTATCTCTCTGTTTCTTCCCCATACCTGCATTGCATTTTTGTTTCATATTAACTTTTGATGTTCTCCCATTTGAATTTGAGCTACAAGGGAATATTTCACTGCACAAGAACAAAAACGAGTTATTGCATCGTAGCACGGTGAAAGGAAGTAAAAAGCTCATGTCATCCCGGGGTCTCTTGTCAGATTGGTTCCATAGGGCACTCTTTGCTGATGCATTTTTCATAGGCAGGTGGCGGCGGCTAAACCGAACGGTGACATTTTCACTGAGCATCTGAACTTCTGACTCGTTCAATTATTTGTTCCTACATGTGTACCTAGCCATCAAAAACAAATTAAGCATTCTTTTGATGTGATCCAGGGCCAGGTCTTCAAGGCAGGTATGCAAAACTAATTTCACTTGTGTCTATTCGGCCAGAGGGTAAAAATGGAACTAACTAAACCTCAGCCGACAGGAGGGAAAACTTTGCAATTAATTGACTGTGCTGAGACCTAAAGCGCATTGATGCCCTGAAGGGAACACGGCACAAATTAAAATACAGATCGATATACTTCCTATAATTTGCTTTCTCCTGCTCCCTCTATCGGCAACACTTTGGATCTAAAGGTTTTGACCTTTAGCTTTAAAGGACTATTAGAAAAGCTGAGCAATCTTAATATATGCAGCAGCAATTGTTCCTCCTGCATTTGTCTTTGTCCAGTGTCAAACCTACCACAGTGGCATGTGCCATGCCTGATGCAGAATACCCTATTTGTATAACCTGTTCCCCCAATAAGCTTCACAAAGATGGACCTCGTTCCCCCACACCTCTAATACACCTGCAGCATCTACCGGGGTCTCAGGGAAACAAAACACCAAGACTAGAAGGTGAATAGGAGCAGGCAACTGAAAGGCAGCTTTCACCAAGTTGCTAGAAATATGTCAAATGCATGTGTCTCCATGCAAGCACACATTATTTAAGCCATGGACTCTACCTAAGGGTGCAAGGACCTTAGGTTCAAGCTCCATTTTTTTTTTAAAATGATGTTAATGGCATCACTTTGAGTGTAGCTGTATTTCATAGCATGAGCCTGCTTAATGAGACAACGACGGCACCTGTTGTCTCATTTCCCATTTAATGTTAAAACCACAGCTGGAAAACGTCCTGAATTTCAAAATGCTGGTCTTAAATCACTACCAGATAAACCCTGTGAATCTGGCAATTAGCTACAAATCCAACTGCACTTCTCATTACCTACCTGCATTAGCTAGCCGGGGGCCAGCAGCACTAAAAGCATATTTATTTAGTCATTAGCACTTGCTCACACCTTGCAAAAAGGGGCATATTTTCAAATTAAATGAAAAAGCGCTGTTTTCTATCTATACAGACAAAAACGATTTTGGCTTCTGAAGACTTCATGAGCGTATCGTGGCTGCCACCTCCTGGTCAGAACAGGGTTAGTATTTGCTGTAGTTCAAGCATTGCTGGTATCATAGCAGCAAAGTCCCAAGTGGGACAGTGCCTAGCAAAATTAATACCCACGATGTAGCTCTATTTCAAATCAGAGCAAAGCCTCTTGTAGAGACATATATTGGTTTAAGTGGTTTAATTCAATTTAGGGGAAATCTGTTCCTAATTGACAAAAGCTACGCCAAGAAAAGTCTGGTTTAAATGAAAATAAGCGTGTTTGTTTATCCAGATTTTGGCACTGGTCTAACTAAAATTGTTTAAAAAGAGAGAGAGGGAAGGAAAGACATAAAAAAGAGGGGGGAGCTTTAACTACAGCAGCTTTCTCCAGCAGACCAGTCCAGCTCACAGCCTGGAGTTTTTGGAAGCTGACCTAAATGCAATCTCTAGGAATGGGTAAGCCAATGCCTCCCTTCCCCATCTTGAAGAGATCAAAAATGTTGCCCATTTTCATATAATGTCATGAAGTTCAATAACATTCAATACATTACCTTAACAACTCCTTAAAGAAGTTCAGCCAATACTGAATAGAGAACCCAGATATTTTATAAGCCCCTTACACAGCATTAGAGATGCTCGTGCACCTATCCACTTTTGCTGCTTCCAAGAACGTTAGGAACATCAGTTTTCTTCTAGGTGTCTGGCCATTTTTCAAGCTAGAGACACTCTGCCCATTTCCCACTTCACTTCACCCTGAGCAACCTAGGTACACTACGTCCCACGATGCAGAGAAACCCAATCGGGCCTGACGCACTATTGCTCAAGCATCACATTGCATTTGAGGTTTAGGCTGGAGTCCAGGAGAACTTTCCCTGCAGCGACAAAGTGTCACCAATGCTGGAACATAGCCACCGTGCCCAGCAATCCCCAGGAGCAAGTCTGTCCCTGCTCCAATCTCCAATGGACTCTGCTCTTGGCTTGAAGTTGATGGTAAACTATCAAGCTGGATCTTCAAAGATCTTCCAAATGGCCAGCACAACTTAAACAAAACCCTTCCCTTTTTATTATTATTGCATTGGTTTTTTTGGACAAAAACATTAATCCGAGCCTAACTAGATTTTTCTGGATTAGCTCTCTGTATCCCTTTGGCTTTCAGGTTAACCAGTTTCTTTAAAAAACCTATTCCATAGCATTTTAGAAAGTAACTAATCCAAAGGACAGCTCAGTTTTCACCGTTGTGGATTTACTCATAGTTAAATACACACACAAAAATGGTTCGGGGGCT